TTTTTTTTTTTTAATTTCTATTTGATTTCTTTCAGGTATTGTCCTAATTGCAAGAAACATCAACAAGCCACTAAGAAATTTGATCTTTGGTCGTTGCCACGCATTTTGGTAGTGCATTTAAAACGCTTTTCATACAATCGATATTGGAGGGATAAACTTGACGCGGTAGTTGACTTCCCTATCAGGTAAAATCTTCAGAAATGTTAGTATGTCGATATGGTCAGACCTGATATCTTTATGAATACATGGTCCAAGTAGCCTTGTCATAATAATTACGATACCCTGCTGCTGATTTTGATGCCAGCGTCTTCCTGAGTGCCTTGGCTCTTGCTTTGTTCCTCTACCATGGGGTTTTGCGTAATTCTACTTTGTGTTCCTTTTAGCTACTTTGGTTTGGATTTTGAGATCTGTGATTTGTTTTATATTGCTGTGGGGTTGGCAATTCAACTAGTCCAACCATTTAGGTCCCTGAACCTGATGATCGGTGTCCACATATTCTTGTAGTAAAGATTTTTAACTTGAGCACATCTTGGCAGTATTTTGGGACCACATCTAAATTTATATTTTATTTATTTCCTCTACGTCATATTATTCTCTGGTAATTGAGTAATTTAGACCTTTGGAATATAATTGAACAAATTAAACAAAATGTTTTTTTACTAACATGCTCCCAGTAATTTAAATGAAAAATTAAACGTTTCTCTCGGTCAATATACTTGGAAACAGAAATTGATTGTTCCTCTGTATCAGGTTAATTAAATATATTTTTAAAAAACTTGATAACACACACACAGTCATGTCTGTGGTCACATTATGATCCCATGTAATGTTGAGGACTGTAACTCAAATAGCCATACTTTTGTGGGAAAGTATTTTGGAAAGATTATACTAGGTATTAAGATAATTTCTTTCAATCCCAATGAGAATTTGCCTCCTCTCAACCTTATTTGGAAGAATCATACTTGCACGCAGTGTCTATATGTCTTTTGTCTGTAACTATTTGTAACAATACAGCATAAGTTCTTAGTATAAATATCTCTTTTCCCAGTCTTGTTAAAAAGTATTGTTGCTCATGTGTTTGTAGCAAAAAAAAAAAAAAAGAATTACATTTGCAGAGATTACCATAAAATGATGATTATATTGAAGTATTTCTTCAGTGAGACAGTAGTGTCTGTGTAAGTGTATCACTCGGAATTCTTCAGAACATTGTGGGTAATCTGCAATATTGTGACTCTTGCTGGTAATAACAGTGGAATAACACGATGGATACTTTTAAAACTGGTTTTGAAAATAGATTGTCTTTTTTGTAAGGTGTTAGTATGTCTTTTTGCCACAACATTGATCATTGTGACTTCTTTATAGGGATTTGAACATGTCTGAGTTTGTTGGTGATCCAGCAGCAAGTCCATATGTATATGACTTAATTGCTGTTTCCAATCACTATGGAGGCTTGGGTGTAGGACACTGTGAGTAACTCTTGCTTCCCCCCCCCCCATATCTGCAAAAATTCAAAATGTGTCTCAGCAGCAATATCCAAGATTAAAGTAGCAATTTTTGAAACTGAATATAAACCATTGCAGGCTTCTATGTTTAGTTCATTGAAACCTGCCCTGCAAAGCTAATAGAAGTGATGTGAAAGAACACTGAATTGTCAACTCTGTAGACAAGGAAAAAAAATCCAACCTCAATTAAAATGCTCTAAAATGTCTATTAAATAGATAACCACTTTTTGTTGTTTTGTATCATAAAGTTCCCCTTTTCTGAAGCTGCTGTTTCTTATATATCTTCAATGAAAAGATTGTTATGAGCCTTCAGATATTTAAATAATCCTTTTAATAACACTGATGAGAGTCCCATGAAAAAGCATTTTAGTGCATTTAGTCAATTTGCAGATTGTTACTGAATGTGTTTAACTATTAATGTGCTAATTAAGCATATAATGATTGTGAAATATTTTTAAAAACCAAAGTGGAAAGCTTCCCCTTCCCTCACCAATGGTTCTTTAAAATGCTGGGTTTTCTTGCATATAATTTATAATTATTTATTCATAGTTGCCAACTGTAGTAAAAGGAAAGGAATTCCTTTATTCTTTTTTAATGACGTTAGAGACTATCGGTGCTTGCAAAACTCAAGACTGTATTTTTAAAGCATGTCATTATATTTTTCCCTTGCATTTGTTTTCCTGGCAGATACTGCTTATGCTAAGAATAAAATCAATGGAAAATGGTACTACTTTGATGACAGCAATGTATCTCCAGCTTCTGAAGAACAAATAGTGGTAAATATTTCAAATAAATCAAACCTTTTCCTGATATCTTCTGGAATTTAACAAGTGCAGCTGTTAAATCAGCAGAGTAGCAAGTTAAAATGGCACTACAAATTATTTTCTACAGAAAGTAGAATCCATCTGAAACCCATTAGGAACACGAGTTTAACTGCAATTCTTGAAACTAAGCTCTAACCTTGTGCACTGATTGAAGGGATAGGATGCATGACTCCACTATTTGCTTGATTGTGACATGCCCTTTCTCACTTCTTCAGGTGGTTAGGGATCTAATGAGCTGGATCTAGGAATGGTCAGCATTTCTTTCCTATACCCAGCTGTTTTAGTCAACTACTATACAATCTCCAATATTGGACTCCCTTTTGGGGGGAAGATTGTCAAGAAGCTGTTGAAGAGTCAGCTAAAGGGAACCCTAGAGGAAATAGATTGCATAGAATTCTGAATTTAGTCCAATAATAAGATGGAAATGTCATTTGTCAAGTTCCAGCTGAGAAACCCAGTGAAGCAAAACACCAAAGACATTGCATTCTCTAATGTAAACTTTATTAGGCATTAGCAAACTGGCAAGATAGAAAGGAAATTAGCTGAGAATATGGTGGGAAACAGATAATTAAAAGAGTTAAACTTTTCCTCCCCTCTCTGACAGTTCAGTTCACATTGTCCAATAAATCTTCCAGCTGCCGACTCTCACATTGATAAGGAACACCTGTGGATCCCAAACTCTCCTCTCTTCTTCCTGTCCCCCCCCCCTAAACTGTGGACAAGCTAGAAGTATAGAGCGGTCCTAAAGACCGTAGATTTCGTAGCTTGACATCATTTGTTGCTCCCTTTAATTACCTTTGTTGTGACTTGGATTTGAAGAGTGTATCTTTTCTGGTCTTATCTGACCTCTTAGCAGCATTTATCAACAATTATACAACTCTAAACCCTCTGCAAAATTTGGGAGATGAAGGCAAAGTGTTACACAGTCCATGATTATTTAGTCAGTGGTAGCAGGAGGTCATTAAGATTTGGCTGAGGTTGAACCCTAGGAAGGCAGAGGTATTGTTTGTTCAGAAGGGCTCTCTGTCAGCTCTGGTCACTGGTTGGAATAGCACTTACCTTGAAGAAGGAGGATTGCAATAGGGTGATCTTTCTGAATGGAAGCAGCAGGATCAAACTCAACCTTAGCAAGATTATCAATAAGTTCTTGGTCCTTCCAATTCTAAGGACTAAGCCTCACTTCATTAGTGGTGGCACTTAAAGGAGGCTTCTGAAAAAGATGTCAAGACTTCTATGTAGGTATGTATATATTTCAGAGATTCGAGTCCTGGGGCTTTGTAGGCTAGTTTGATTACAATTTTTCTGTTAAGTATTGATTTTTTTAATATATTTCTCAATCACTTTCTTCCAGACAAAGGCAGCATATGTACTGTTTTACCAACGTAGAGATGTCAAGCTCAAGGGGAGCCATTCTTTTTGCCCAAGCATGGAACCAGAATCTGAAGAATGTGATGGCATGGATACTAACTGAATTTGTTTGGTTATTCTCTAATATGACAATGTATCTGAGGACTTATTTTGAACCCNTTTCTTAGATATATCTCTGCCATTACTATCTACTTTGTAGATCAAAGATCCCCAACCTTTTTAGAATGCATTTGGAATTTCAAGAACATATTACAGGCACTCTCAGATGGCTTATGATGATGTACCAGAAGCTGAACTGATGGGGTTGCTCCCTATTCTCTTTAGCTTCTCAAAATCTTCTTTATTAGCTTTTTTTTTTTCTGGGCAGGATAGCATATCTCCAAACAAACCACTCAGCTATGGCCACTTCATTTTGTAAAGAATGTCTCTGGGATCTATATAAAATTTTTAAAAAATGCAGCAGGAAAATGGCATGGCACCACAGCTATGCATTTGTGATATTATATTTGAGACATATTCCAAACATGCAAGAAGCACTTGTTCTAGACAGCTTTACGGTGCAAGACAGTGCAATCTCCACTGATAATTAACATAAATTTTAATGTAGTATAAAAACATTTGTCATAGATTTTAAAAAAAAAAGGTTCAGTAAAACCATGATAAAATCAATAATAGCAAAAGTACAGATGAGATAAGATTGATTATTCTCTTATTGAAAACAAGGCCAATATGTTGGTTTTGAGGAAGAATTCCTTACTTACATTTTTCTGGTAAATGTAGATTCTGATGCTATTCCCAATTTATATGGGATTATTTTGGGGTATTTAGGGAACTAGTGAGAGGATAAGCACGAGTCAGAATGAAGTATTCCTTTTCCCCTTAAAAATGATTTTTGAAAATGCACTGAATAGTGGTGTATCTTATGCATTTTTTTCCTTTGCTCAAAGCATTCTGCATTCTCACAGCAGTACAGGATCCTTTATCCACATATTGTTCTTTCTGTAGTATTCCTTGAAATGATTAGGCCAGTATGCAACATATAAGATCCTGGACTTTTTGTACATCTTAAAAATAAGTCCAGTCCTAAGCAGTCCAATAGGTTTTCTTCCTGCAAGGTATAAAGAAAAACTGAGGACTGAAATCTGATCCCAAAAGAGATATCTGGTTTACTTGAGATTGTTATATCTTTCCAGAACTATGGAATTGTGAGTCCCATTAAGTAAGTATTAATTCCCTTCCAGTAAAGTGAATTAACAACAAACTCTTTTGGTTTTTTTTTTTTTTTATTTCTATTTGATTTGTTTCAGGTATTGTCCTAATTGCAAGAAACATCAACAAGCCACTAAGAAATTTGATCTTTGGTCATTGCCACGCATTTTGGTAGTGCATTTAAAACGCTTTTCATACAATCGATATTGGAGGGATAAACTTGACGCGGTAGTTGACTTCCCTATCAGGTAAAATCTTCAGAAATGTTAGTATGTCGATATGGTCAGACCTGATATCTTTATGAATACATGGTCCAAGTAGCCTTGTCATAATAATTACGGTACCCTGCTGCTGATTTCGATGCCAGCGTCTTCCTGAGTGCCTTGGCTCTTGCTTTGTTCCTCTACGATGGGGTTTTGCGTAATTCTACTTTGTGTTCCTTTTAGCTACTTTGGTTTGGATTTTGAGATCTGTGATTTTTTTTTACATTGCTGTGGGGTTGGCAATTCAACTAGTCCAACCGTTTAGGTCCCTGAACCTCACGATCAGTGTCCACATATTCTTGTAGTAAAGATTTTTAACTTGAGCACATCTTGGCAGTATTTTGGGATCACATCTAAATTTATATTTTATTTATTTCCTCTACGTCATATTATTCTCTGGTAATTGAGTAATTTAGACCTTTGGAATATAATTGAACAAATTAAACAAAATGTTTTTTTACTAACATGCTCCCAGTAATTTAAATGAAAAATTAAACGTTTCTCTCGGTCAATATACTTGGAAACAGAAATTGATTGTTCCTCTGTATCAGGTTAATTAAATATATTTTTTAAAAACTTGATAACACACACAGTCATGTCTGTGGTCACATTATGATCCCATGTAATGTTTGAGGACTGTAACTCAAATAGCCATACTTTTGTGGGAAAGTATTTTGGAAAGATTATACTAGGTATTAAGATAATTTCTTTCAATCTCAATGAGAATTTGCCTCCTCTCAACCTTGACCTTATTTGGAAGAATCATACTTGCACGCAGTGTCTATATGTCTTTTGTCTGTAACTATTTGTAACAATACAGCATAAGTTCTTAGTATAAATATCTCTTTTCCCAGTCTTGTTAAAAAGTATTGTTGCTCATGTGTTTGTAGCAAAAAAAAAAAAAGAATTACATTTGCAGAGATTACCATAAAATGATGATTATATTGAAGTATTTCTTCAGTGAGACAGTAGTGTCTGTGTAAGTGTATCACTCGGAATTCTTCAGAACATTGTGGGCAATCTGCAATATTGTGACTCTTGCTGGTAATAACAGTGGACTAACACGATGGGCACTTTTAAAACTGGTTTTGGAAATAGATTGTCTTTTTTGTAAGGTGTTAGTATGTCTTTTTGCCACAACATTGATCATTGTGACTTCTTTATAGGGATTTGAACATGTCTGAGTTTGTTGGTGATCCAGCAGCAAGTCCATATGTATATGACTTAATTGCTGTTTCCAATCACTATGGAGGCTTGGGTGTAGGACACTGTGAGTAACTCTTGCTTCCCCCCCCCCCCCATATCTGCAAAAATTCAAAATGTGTCTCAGCAGCAATATCCAAGATTAAAGTAGCAATTTTTGAAACTGAATATAAACCATTGCAGGCTTCTATGTTTGGTTCATTGAAACCTGCCCTGCAAAGCTAATAGAAGTGATGTGAAAGAACACTGAATTGTCAACTCTGTAGACAAGAAAAAAAAATCCAACCTCAATTAAAATGCTCTAAAATGTCTATTAAATAGATAACCACTTTTTGTTGTTTTGTATCATAAAGTTCCCCTTTTCTGAAGCTGCTGTTTCTTATATATCTTCAATGAAAAGATTGTTATGAGCCTTCAGATATTTAAATAATGCTTTTAATAACACTGATGAGAGTCCCATGAAAAAGCATTTTAGTGCATTTAGTCAATTTGCAGATTGTTACTGAATGTGTTTAACTATTAATGTGCTAATTAAGCATATAATGATTGTGAAATATTTTTAAAAACCAAAGTGGAAAGCTTCCCCTTCCCTCATCAATGGTTCTTTAAAATGCTGGGTTTTCTTGCATATAATTTATAATTATTTATTCATAGTTGCCAACTGTAGTAAAAGGAAAGGAATTCCTTTATTCTTTTTTAATGACGTTAGAGACTATCTGTGCTTGCAAAACTCAGACTGTATTTTTAAAGCATGTCATTATATTTTTCCCTTGCATTTGTTTTCCTGGCAGACACTGCTTATGCTAAGAATAAAATCAATGGAAAATGGTACTACTTTGATGACAGCAATGTATCTCCAGCTTCTGAAGAACAAATAGTGGTAAATATTTCAAATAAATCAAACCTTTTCCTGATATCTTCTGGACTTTAACAAGTGCAGCTGTTAAATCAGCAGAGTAGCAAGTTAAAATGGCACTACAAATTATTTTCTACAGAAAGTAGAATCCATCTAAAACCCATTAGGAACATGAGCTTAACTGCAATTCTTGAAACTAAGCTCTAACCTTGTGCACTGATTTAAGGGATAGGATGCATGACTCCACTATTTGCTTGATTGTGACATGCCCTTTTTCACTTCTTCAGGTGGTTAGGGATCTAATGAGCTGGATCTAGGAATGGTCAGCATTTCTTTCCTATACCCAGCTGTTTTAGTCAACTACTATACAATCTCCAATATTGGACTCCCTTTTGGGGGGAAGATTGTCAAGAAGCTGTTGAAGAGTCAGCTAAAGGGAACCCTAGAGGAAATAGATTGCATAGAATTCTGAATTCAGTCCAATAATAAGATGGAAATGTCATTTGTCAAGTTCCAGCTGAGAAACCCAGTGAAGCAAAACACCAAAGACATTACATTCTCTAATGTAAATTTTATTAGGCATTAGCAAATTGGCAAGATAGAAAGGAAATTAGCTGAGAATAATGTGAGAAACAGATAATTAAAAGAGTTAAACTTTCCCTCCCCTCTCTGACAGTTCAGTTCACATTGTCCAATAAATCTTCCAGCTGCGGACTCTCACATTGATAAGGAACACCTGTGGATCCCAAACTCTCCTCTCTTCTTCCTGTCCCCCCCCCAACTGTGGACAAGCTAGAAGTATAGAGCGGTCCTAAAGACCGTAGATTTCGTAGCTTGACATCATTTGTTGCTCCCTTTAATTACCGTTGTTGTGACTTGGATTTGAAGAGTGTATCTTTTCTGGTCTTATCTGACCTCTTAGCAGCATTTATCAACAATTATACAACTCTAAACCCTCTGCAAAATTTGGGAGATGAAGGCAGAGTGTTACACAGTCCATGATTATTTAGTCAGTGGTAGCAGGAGGTCATTAAGATTTGGCTGAGGTTGAACCCTAGGGAGGTAGAGTTATTTTTTGTTCAGAAGGGCTCTCTGTCAGCTCTGGTCACTGGTTGGAATGGCACTTACCTTGAAGAAGGAGGATTGCAATAGGGTGATCTTTCTGAATGGAAGCAGCAGGATCAAACTCAACCTTAGCAAGATTATCAATAAGTTCTTGGTCCTTCCAGGACTAAGGACTAAGCCTCACTTCATTAGTGGTGGCACTTAAAGGAGGCTTCTGAAAAAGATGTCAAGACATCTAGGTAGGTATGTAAATATTTCAGAGATTCGAGTCCTGGGGCTTTGTAGGCTAGTTTGATTACAATTTCTCTGTTAAGTATTGATTTTTAAATTTATTTCTCAATCACTTTCTTCCAGACAAAGGCAGCATATGTACTGTTTTACCAACGTAGAGATGTCAAGCTCAAGGGGAGCCATTCTTTTTGCCCAAGCATGGAACCAGAATCTGAAGAATGTGATGGCATGGATACTAACTGAATTTGTTTGGTTATTCTCTAATATGACAATGTATCTGAGGACTTATTTTGAACCCCTGTAGGGCTACTGGACAGCACAGGAGGCCTCAGCACTGAAAAATAAATAGAGGAAGCAATAAGATGGCAAACTTGGGCATATTCTTTAATCTAAGAGTTTTTACTCAAATTTTATCTTAACTGTTCAATAAAATTTTGTTGTCTAAATCTGACTTTGTATTATGAAGATTGTATGGGATTAAGAGCTGCTATATGCTGGAGCGATGCATGTTAAGAAAAAAATGGCTGTGTTGGTTTGCAAATTCAAATTGGGCTTCAATGAAAGAAATGCATTTAGTTTCATGCATTGTGAAAAGTGTACAATCTGGGAGATATCTGAGTGCTGCAGAAGTGCAACATAGACATCAGCTTCACTCTTGGTTAGCACGTATTACCACAACATTGTGTCAATCCCTTTTGGACATGTCGAGCAGACTTTTTTTTTTCTTTTTCTTTTTTTTTCGAGAAAGTATTTCTCCTGGCCCAAAGTCTCCCATCCAAAAATTACCTACGAAGTATTTCAAAAATAGTTTCCATGTTTTCAGGATCAATGACAGTAAAACAATTCTTTAGAAGTAACAGACAGTATTTCTTTCCTGTGGCAATGTTCAGAAACCCTTTTTTTTCATATTCATCTGGTAGCAATTCTTTATGCTCATTTGACACCTTTTCTTCACATTTATGCAATTATCAGCACCGTATAAAGGTCTTAATCCTTTTAAGAAGGCCACACAGTAATATCCAATTACTTTGGATGTGTTTCAACCCATTCATTTTCTTCCCAGGTATTTTATTCCTATTTATTTGAGTAATTTCCCTTCTGTTTAGCCATTTCCACATGAACTAAAATGTAACCAAAGAAAAATGGGCTTGCTGTTCTTTTTTTAATCCGTATCCTTCTCACTAAGCCCTAATGTACTTCGGTAGTAACTTATCTATATAAACTAAGAGAGTTTTGAATACTCCCCAGGAATGACACATCATAATGAAGAGATTTGTTATTAATGGAAATGGCTTTGAAATCATATTAATACATCATGAAATTACTTCCTTTTGCAGTTGACAGTATGTTCCAAGAATTCGTTCAAAACTCAGAATCATTTCTTTCACAAAGTTTATGTAGACCTTTGAAGTCCCACAGGCTATGGACACCAGTGATCCAACATTTTAGCAGAATTTTATTAGATGTGATCAAGTATTCTCTGTAGATTTTAGCAGAGGAAGAGTCACTGTTGTCAGCTATTAGACAATCTTCTAATGATTACTATATAGATCTGCAGGTGATTCTTCTAAAGCACTGAAATGATTATTTGGTTGAGTTGCCAATGCTTCCAGATTTTTAAACTGGTTTGAGGTTTTATCTCAACTGCATATTTTTCCTTGCACATATGGGGCAGAGAAAAGGGCTTGGAATTATTTAAATGCTTAATGTCAAATCACATTTTATGGTTTTGCTTTTTTCTGTTTTTCTGGGTTATAATTTCTTTTAAATGTAACATTTGGAGAGAGTGAAATATTTAAATGCAAAAAGCAATTTATAATTAAATATCTTATATATTTCTGTTGCATATTGAAGCAAAAATCTTCACTGTTTTTAAGTATGATCAGAGAGTAAGTACATCAAAGTAAGTTTCTTCTAAATGCTGTACAAATGGTATTAGAAATCTTGACTTGCCTCTGACCAGGTTGAAACCTAGCTGGTGTGTACATTCTGTATAGTATCAAAATCACTTTTAGACTAGCACTGGATTGTTTTACTGTGTAAAGGTAAAGAATAAAATAAAGAGGAACGGATTGCACAAAGTATGTACTCTTTGGTATTTCTGTGTGGAGAATGAGGGTTTCTAGCATATCCTAGGATATGACTCATTACCTGATCGAATAGTAATGCTGCTATCAAACAATACCAAAGGTACAGCAGATTTTTTCTGTTAACTTGGAATATAGTAGTAACCTGGGTGCTGTGTTTATGTATTCACATACCAGTAACTTATAAAGCTAGAATTGTAAATTCATACATCATTTCTTAGCCTTTAAGGGACGATTTTCATGCTCTATTTATTGGAAATTAATCTTACTAAGAATGTTGGATTGACTTAAGTCTACTTATCTCACTTCCTAGGAAGATTCGACAATCCTTTTACAGTTTAAAAACCGTCATCTAATGGGCCATTTATGGAGAAAAAATGACTAATGAAAATGATTGTCTGAAGTAGGCTTACAATGTTGAACTGTATGCAGTAATTTCTGAAGCACTGGGACAAACTATAAACAATATTTCTTTTTAATATTCATCCAGATCAGTCCTGATTAGGTTTATCAGATTCAAATAAGAAAATAATCCCTTTATTAACTAAATAAGTAATATGTAATTAATATTAATTTATTAATAATAAATTGTCATTGGAAAGCAGCAAGTCCCATCTTGGGGGAAAGTTCTAGTAGAAGCAAAGATTCCGTGACAGTTGAAACCTTCCACAGGGAAAGGAGGGGCACCAGACTCTTATCTGGGAGGCTTTCAATTCAGCCTATGACTTTCTTGCTAAAAAGGGTTTGTGCAATTGCTTTTTTATCTTGTAGTGGTCTTGCAATTGGGAAGCCTTGATAAACAGGTCTGGTGGATCGCAAACTTGGATTAGAAGGGGCACTGGTTTATAAGACCCTTAATGTAGATTAGGCATCCTTCACATTTTGATGATATCGTCACAAGCAGGTTGCTTAGACAGATTTGTATCTTATCAACATTATGGGATTTCTAGAGGAAGCAAAAATTCAGGAAAGATTGTATATAGTTTATTTAAAACCTTAAGAGAATTTGGGATATAAAATTGTTGAGGCAACACAATATTAAGATAAATTGCAGATGAGCACTTTTTTAAAAAAAACTGTTAAAATATACACAAAGCTTAGATGTGCCATTAATACGTCTAATAGCAATTATGATAAATCTTTCTCCAAAATTGCTGAGAGGATCGTTTATGATTTTTCTTTTCCTTTCTCTTTATAATAGTCTGATAGATAATGACTGGGTCAGGCTGTCTCAACAGGTTTAGTGCCTGATGGAAAATATGAAGCCATGATTTCTTGGTCAAAGTTTGTATTTTCTGAATTAACTTCCAGACATATTTTAGCTAGACTTAGAGAAGACTAAAATTTCTGTGTGTTTATACTATACTCAGAAGTAGATCTGTTGTAAAGGTATGCACTCCTATTTAGTCATAGTTGTTCAGCAAATCATTTTATGTGGGAGATGGGTATCCTCCAAATACATGGGGAAAGAGATCAAAGTAATCTGGTTCAGACATTGTTAAACAACTATATCAACATGAATGTGATATGGCTATGATCAGATAAGAGTTAAGCCAAAAAACTTGGTTAATAATGCACTACCTCTGTTTAATGAAGGTTTGTAAGTTATCTGCTCCCCAAACTGCTATTATTTGGATTTTTATAAATCAATTGTTGCAGTTTTCACAGTCTATATGTTATAAAGTGTGGTTTGCACAAACCCCAAATGGTCTCTGTCTCTCTCTCCAAATGCAGTGTGCATTTAGGCTAAAATAACATCATATTGACAAAATGGTTTGGTTTACTATTGTGTTGAAAGCCATGGCTTAGTGTGAGGTGTAAATCCTCCCAATTTTATATTTAAAGATGAAAGACCAATCAAAGGAATACTAGTCTACACGTTTTAGGAGGGACTGGCAGAGGAATATTACCTTTAAATATTTACATGTTTGCTCCAGTTACAACTTTCTATAAGTAATCAGACTTCTGGACAATTAGCTATTTTTCCCTTTCAGGTGAGATGTCTGAAAAGTTAAGTAGGTGCCGTAAGGAGCTAGCAGCAGCTATTGATCGAGCAATGGAAGATCTCTCCATTCCTTTCCTTCCTTCCCAAGATACCAGCAACAACCAGGACTCTGATTTGCCAATAGTGCAGCTTTCTACACCCCCTAATGCAAATATCTTTAATTCTAAGGGAGAGGTAATATCTCCTACTGTATATTGCCCCCAGCCATCTTCAGCAGTTTCTTCTCCTCCTGAAAAAGAGAATCCCCTCCTTAGGTCAAATCTCTTTCCAGTGACGGTAACCTCCAGTATTCCATGTACCAAACGGGAACCATTGATGAGCAAGGAAAATACATGGTTGCACCCACCAATTTTTATGGCTGACAAGCAGTATTTTATCAGCCTGCAAGACAGTGAGAGATGGAAGAAAGGACAAGTAAGGTATGCTTTGCCATCACAGGCTTGATTTGTGATATTATGAGCAGCAACTGAATTTGTTTTGATGATTTTGGTTCCCGGGGAGATACTAGAGCTGACTCCAGGTATTTTGGTATCCAAGCTCACATGGTAAAAAAACAAGGCAAAGCAAAATCAAAACATATACCATAACCTAATAATTTGCTGATCAAAATTTGCTATTCCAGAGCTCATCGACTCTGGAATATATTGCCAAGAGAAAATGAGTCAACTCCATATTGGTCTCCTATCAGCAGGAAAATGCATTTTTTTTCATTGTAAACTGAGACGGGATGAACTTGTATCAGTTTCCAGATGAAATCTTGATCACTAAGATGCTATTTTAAGAAGGTAGCCTTTGCAAGACGTCCTTAAAGAGGACAGGTAGCTCAAAACTTCCAGAGTGTGCTCTTGCTCCATGGAGGTAAAAATGTTCAGTCCTTTGAATCAATGTTCCTTATTCTGTGAAATGTTGATATCCATAGCATACAAGATGGAATTGATCACACCCATTATATGGTAGTTGGTGGTAGCCTGAAGGATAATGAGGTCAAAAGGCCCCTAAATAAATGGCACAATCATAACTTTTTTCAATTATCACATATTTCATTGGTATTCTATTTTTATTAGGTACCTTCATTATGATCATTACCCAAAGAGCAGGTTATATGTTAAAAAACAATAGAGCAGGTACTTGTTTACAGTGTTATGATAAGAGGAGGCAAAGATTGTCTGGTTTGTGTTTTAATAGAGATCAACAGAATTCAAAATGATCAAACTCAAACTAAGAACTATTGCTTTTTTAAAAAAGCTTTTATTTTTAGAATGATGCAGTTCTTAAAAACTATATATTATGGTAAAACTTAAAAAAAGACATTGAAAAGGCAGTTTGGGAAAGACATCTTTACACCTCACTAGGCACAAATTCAATGTGCTTATGCCTTAATGTATAAAAATAGCTATACTAAATGAATTTGGATAGAATAACTGAAAATTGAGACATCCCTATTGTTTGAAAACTGGGATAAATTTCATTTTAGTTTGTGAAATTGGTTGGCTTGTTTTCAAATGTTACTCTTACAATGGGAAATTTCCTGATCTAGTGTTCAGTTAAGGTGTTTTTATGCTGTTCAGCAAAACTGATGAACGATCCATGAAGTCAGAAACAAACATAATTTCCTGTGATGTTCCTCCAGAGAATCCAAAAGATCAGGAAGATATGTCTGCTGGTAAGCATTCTCTCCTCTGTTCCATACATCTTTTTAAATTGGTTCTATGAAGGGAATTAGCACTGCATGCTTAAAGAAACAAAAAGAATATGCGCATCAGGTTTTCTGCAGTTAAACTGTATATTGTTTTAATACAGATGTCAAGCACAAAATGAATGCAAGATAAGTAATTGTTTTTAAAAAAGCCATGCTCTGAAAAGTAGCAATGGCTAACTTTGCATTGGCTGGAAAAACATAGCCTTAAAAGTGGGAAGATAGAAATATGTGATGGGAAGACATCTTCCTTTAGAAGCTTCTGTTTTCATAATCGCGGGTGTTAGATTCTTCCCTCTAGTTCATTAGCTTTTCACAAACCTGCAAGCCCTCAAAATATATCTCATCCATATTTGAAATAGCAAACACTTACAACAGATGTGAGAAGAGCTATTATAATTGTTAAGGGAAAAAAATGAATATCAAATACAAATTATGGGGCCTGCTGGCTTTGGCAGAAACTATTTTGATTACATTCTCACATTTGGACAATTTGAAACTCTTTAGCTTCTTCAGAATGAGCAAAGTAAACGTCATTCTGATGTTTTGAAGGATCTGGAGGAAATTACTAGCCTTTTATGCACTTTTTTTTTCTGTAGACGAAGCCTCAGCTGTCCATCTGGGTGAGAGGAACAATTTCAGAAAGGTCCTAGAACACAGCCCAGAAGATGAAGCTATCATTGAAACCTTGTTGGATATGGAAGAAGAATACAGATTGAACAGCTCCACCTTGCACCAGCTGCACTAAGCAGGTGGTATAAAGTGTGAGCTATTTTACAATTTGGTAGTAACATTTTTAAACCATGCAAGCAATCCTGACCTTTGCCAGATACACAATTAAAGAAACCAACTTATAATATTGCATGGAGTTTCTTTTTTCTTCTCTGTAGGGTAATGAACTGTAGTTAAATCAAATGCTACTGCTTTTGCTTTGCCCTTCAATGTATGTTTCCATTGCAAAAAAGATACTGCATATAAGCCAGCTTGTGACATAGTGATTTAAGTCATGATTACTTGCAAATTTTTGCCAAGCACCAGGTGCACATGTTTTTAAACCAGAAAAAAACAGATGTGAATCATGGGATGAATTTCACAGAAGGAAACAGAACAGAGAACCCACTAATAACAAAATGTGGTGGTGGAACAAAATATCTATTTCTTATATCTGAAGATTCATTTAATGGTAGGATCTTGTGCATCTAGAGTTGATGGTTTATGCCATAGTTTTCTGTGGGGAAGCAAGCTACACACCTGCTTTCATGTCAAACAGGAAAGGAGGAAAAGAAATGTGTAATCCATTGTGATTGTAAATGTATAGTTTAAACGAACAACCCTCCACCCTCCAAATTGCCTAAAAAATTTATTTGGAATGAAATTACAGAATTTGGTGAGTTTTTAGCTTTCACATATTATCATAGCCTTTTTAGGGATAAAATACTGTTATTGACCATTGAAGAAACAGCAGGCAGCAGGGTATTCTTTATCAGATGATGATGATTGTAAAAAGTATTTATGTACTTAATCTATTTTGTCTTTGCCAAAAATAGACATATTTTCAGCAATTCAAATAAGCTCCACTTTTTAAGAAACATAAACAAATACCAGCATAATTTAACTGGAAACATTGTTACATTAAAAATATGTCCACAAGTGAACCAGTGAATGTTTACACGAATACATAATTCTAGTGTTATCCATATCCAGAATAGAAAAAGGCCATTTTTTTACTTAATTTTCTATGGCATAAAGAATTCTGCATATAGTCCATTACCTATAGTTTGGTTTCTAGCTCGATTATTGGCATCTGCTGCAATTGACTCCTTGTGACCTGCCACTCTTTATAAAAAACAAATACAGGTAAGTCCTTGACATACAACTGGTCATTTAATTACCGTTCAAAATTCCAGCAGACACCCCTCCCCCCAAAAAAGATACGTACAACCCAGTTCCGAAGTTCTAACAGATACACACACGCACGTCCAATTACATAACTGCATTTTGGGTGCCCTGCATTTATGGCTGTTTGCAGCATCCTGCGGTCATGTGACCACAATTTATGACAAGTTTGCCAAAACCTGGTGTTTATTTCCAGTTTTTGGCAAAAACACCCCATAGTGAACAATGGATTCACTTGATGATTGTGAGATTTGCTTAATAACTAGAGTGGTGGCTTTATGACTACAGCATTTGCTTAATCGCCACCACAAAAAAAGGCTGTAAAATTGAGTCAATCATGTCAGTGATTTGCTTTACAATCATCAGGAAGATGGATATTTTACATATAATTATCTATACTTCAGATACTTTACAGATATATTATTTCTCAGTAAATATTCAATCTTTAGAATGCCCCTTTCTTCAAGGTCTTAAATCACTTGATATAAGGACATGTAATTATTTGATATGAGCACACTAGCATAGAATGAATTTCTTTATATATCATATAAAAATGTGTACTATTAAAGTGCAACTTAAGTATGGCATTTGCTATGAATCTGAAACAGATAAATAACTGTACCCATCAACCCAAACGTGCAATGAAACAAAGAGTTCCTGGGTGTTTTTTAAGTTAGTGGGAACTGAGATATAAATCAATTTGCATTACTGCTGCAAAAATATTGGGTTGCATAAAATAGACTTAAACAAGCCTAAACTGGATAGAGGTTGGGTGCCGTGAAAGTAAAAAAAAAAAAAAGCAATTTTCATACCTTAGTTACAGAATAAATTATCTTCATATGTGAGATATGAGATAGGATTAAGCTCGTGAATCTAAAACAGAGAAACCTGCCTAGAGCAGAAGAAACAAAGTGTGGGGATGCTCATATGGGCTTCACTGGCATAGCTAGCTTCACGGTGCATATATATCAGTGATGGCGAACCTTTGGCACGTGTGCCAGAGGCGGCACTCAGAGCCCTCTCTGTGGGCACACCTGCCGCCGCCAGCTCATGCAGGTCCATTAGGCCCCTGCTGGCACCCGGAGCAGCAGCCCCACCCAGCACAAAGGAGGCGAAGCAGCTGGCTAGCAAGCTCGAGTAGAGGCAGTAGAGCATGCCCCCATGTGCTCCTGGCCTCTGTGCGCGGGGGCTGATGGTGTCAGTCAGCAGCCACCCCTGCCTCACCTTGCCCTGCAGCAATGGCACCCCTGCCCTACCCCCTGCCTCACCCCAAAGGACGAGCCTCCTGCCCATCCCCCCACCCACCAGAGACCCCCTGGATCTCCCCCAATCCTGCCCAGCCCCCACAGGCATCTCTCCACGAGCAACATCAAGGTGGCCACGCCCACCCTGGCCATGCCCACTCAGTCTGCCGTGACCACTGCACCCACGCCCACCCAGTGGGCCACGCCCCCTGCCCCCCCGAGGGCACTACAATGCTGATGTGGCCCTGGCACTTTGCGATAAATAAGTGGGTTTTGGGCTGCGGTTTGGGCACTCGGTCTCCAAAAGGTTCGCCATCACTGATATATATCTTTCCCCCTCTAAGACAGCAATGGGAAATATCTGGTCTATAGGCCATGTCCAAGCCTCCATCCCCCTTTAACAGAACCAAGCAGTGTTTGCAATAAGCTGAACAATCTGAGAGGAGGAATGGCTTAAACCTCACTTTCTTCATAATCCCCCCTCCCTAAGCAGCTCAACATTGGGTAGACTTAAGGAACAAGAAAAAGAGGTCTCATTCCAATTTTTAGTGTGTGACAGAAAAAGGATGGGAACAATATTAAATGTAACATGCATCCCCAGAGGTTTCCATTGGGACAATGTGATCCATGGATTTATTCATTTTCCTTAGTCTAGCATTGCCATTTCACAGTTGTAATGAACTATTTCTTGTTATTTTGCTGATACAAAGAACTATGATACAGCATAATTCAGCAAGTGCATGAGCATCAATTCTCAGAATTCTCAGCAAAGGTCTCCCTGGCTGGGAAATTCAGGCTTATCAAGGGTAGATCAAAGCCAATGCTATTCTGAAAAATTGTAACATGAAATATTTGAAATACTGTACATATACCACACTGTTAAAAAATCTTAACTAGTCTTTTAATGCACTGCTACTTTAGTGTCACAGTCTGACAACCGAACACAGCCACATATAACTTTTGGCTGGTAACTAAAGAAATTATTCAGTCAATCTGATTTTAGCCAGGTGAACTCAGGAACGTGTATTGTCTTGAGTATACACACAATACCCTCTAGTCCAAAAGCCATGAACATAATTCATAGGAAATCTTATTTCATATACATGTTGAAACTTTAAATGCTTGTCCCTTGAGAGATTAGTTTAAGACCTAAAGCCCATTTTTTTCCATAAAAAAACATATCTCAATAAAAAGAGGAATTTATCCAATTCTAATCCATATTTTACCAGTATTCCATTCTAAAATTAAAATCCAAGTTATTCTAGTCAGTGATATCTACTACAGTGAAATTTATTTACTTTCCATTTTGGTAACAGGATTCGGTTACTGTTGTTTACCTAGGTCAGTGATGGCGAACCTTTTAGAGACCGAGTGCCCAAACTGCAACCCAAAACCCACTTATGCATCGTCGGGTGCCGGGTGGGTGTGGCCCATTGGCTGGGTGTGGCCCATTGGGTGGGCGTGGCTACGGTGGTAACAGACTGGGTGGAACTAAAAAGTTCAATCAATCAATTCCAACTTTGCAAGATCTTTTTTTTTCCCGCTAGAAGTTGAAATTGACTGATTGATTGAACCTTTTTTTTTGCACATGGCGGCGGAGGCCTAAAGTGAAAAGGTTTTATAAAACCCAGCTGAAGGCCTAGGACTGGGGCGACGGCGCGCGTGCCCACAGAGAGGGCTCTGAGTGCCACCTCTGGCACCCGTGCCATGGGTTCGCCACCACTGACCTAGGTGACAGAAGAAAAATTAGAAAGGAAAAGGGGACTCTTCATCCAGCTCTTGGCAAAGCTCCAAGACTTTCTAGTAACTTGAACATCTGGATAACCAAATGGTAGCAAGCAGAGAGAACACTTGCATGCTCTTTCCACCTAAATTCAAGTCTTTAAGGATAGGTAGTTTCTCAAATGTGGTGCGGCTAAGCCCTAGCTGTCAAGGAACTTCAGCATTAAACCATCTTTTGCAAAATGGTGGCATTTAACAGGTACAGCAGCAGTGTATTGAATTCTTAATACATTTCCGCTATCCACAACATATAAATTCTTCTTCCAATGAGTTTGGCTTGGGTAACAAGTTTAGTAGTTTACGTTTGATCAATGAAGAAGTATCAGCACGAGTTCTAAGATAACTCAGAAAACATCAGTCTCAGAAGAGGCTCTTGAAGCAAGACTTTTTGCCTGCAGCTACATCTTTCACAGAAATTCTGATCAAATTTATTCTGGTCATCAATAAGAACACACTTCTGATATTAAACATAACTGATTTAATGCCAACCAAATGAAGGTCCTCAGAACATGGATGTCTGCAATTCTTCCTTAAACATGCCTTCAAAGTGGAGATCTTTAGCCATGAGTTCTTCCTCAACATCCTCCAGCGCCCACTGATGGTCAGTCAGTTCTAGAGCCTCCCATTCTGTCTGCAATGGCAAAGAAAGAGCACTGACAGGATGAGCAGGAATCGCCAAATAGCTACACTGGCTCTTTTGAAATATATGGAGAAGTCTTGTTCAATGTCACGTCTTAGGAGTCTAAATTTGAGCAGTTGGGTATAAATCCATGATTAACTTATTAAAAACTGTCTGAACATTTAACCAGCCATCTTCCTAGCCAATATGACAGTTGGTGCCAATGCTTAACATATTATAACCATAGCCACATTTTGCATAACACATCACCTTTATCCAAATAAGGTTCATAGGGACTTCTGTGTTGTTTTCTTTCAATAAACACTGAAGTAGCTCTATAGATTACCAAGTAAATTCCTCATATTTCCACTGTGTCCACAACTTAAAACAAATTCAGTCATGTGAGTTTCTGCCCAAACTCTCCAAAGCACTGGTTGAATTTGTTGAACTTGGTTCCTGCTGTGAATTAACTGAATATTCTGACACATGCTAAGTTCATAAGCAGTTCACGCTAAAGGTCTTTTCACTGACAATACGCCAATACATTTCCAAAGAACTTCAGTATAGCTAAAAAATACTAGATGTGAATATGGATGTTTAATCTAATAATTGTCTAGAGCAAAGTATAATCTGAAGCCCTCTGAGGGTCCTCCCCAAGATCCTCTTAGGGGTCTGTGAAATCAAAATTATTTGCCAGCCTATGTTGAAACATAATACTAAAATTCAGTCAGATAATCATGAGATGCAGTAGCAGCAGTGAAAGTGTGAATATTGATAAATATAACCCATGCAAAGAAAGGCCTCTTTGGGATCCTCAATAATTTTTAAAAGTGGAAAAGGGCCCTGAAAGAAAATCTTTAAAAAAAACCCTATTCTAGAGAATTATTTAGCAAGCATTCCTACCATGAATTCCAGATTAACATGCTCTGCAGCTATTCTTTCTTTAAAAGCATTTCTACTCTACATTCAAGGAAATACTACCTATGGTTTGAAGAACTTATTTCAGCAGTTGAAAAAGAGTCTTGTACCTTGAATGCTTTATTAGTATCTGCAGGCATGCTATCCTGCTCTATGGAGTAGAGAGTTGGTCTCTGACAGAAGGCCACCTGAAGAGACTAGAAGCATTTGAAATGTGGATTTACAGGCGGCTGTTACGTATAAGCTGGGTTGACAAGATCAGAAATGAGGAGGTGATAAGCTGCCTGGGAAAGCCAAGGGAAATCATCAAAACAATTAAAAAACGAAAATTAGAATATTTCGGACATGTGATGCGACACCCAGAAAAATACAGCATACTCCATTTAATCCTCCAGGGAAAGATTGAAGGCAAACGAGGTCCAGGCAGAAGAAGAACTTCATGGCTTCAAAATCTAAGGGACTGGTTTGGACAAAACTCAGCAGCACTTTTTCGTGCGGCTGCTGATAAAAACAGGATCGCCAACATGATCGCCAATGTCTGATAACGGATATGGCAAAACAACAAGAAGAAGAAGCTCTAAACTAATAGAAAAGACTTTTCAGAAAATTATAAACCAGCATTTATTTCTGTAAGGAATGAAATAGCCTTTCAATGTTTGGCCAATTATGTATAAACAACAGGCTCAGTTTTCTTCAGCATTAAACTGAATATAAAAAGCTTTACACTTAACTAGGGCTAAAAAAGTACATTTTAATTTGCACTGGATACTAACATGAGCAATTTGATTTGCAATCGTAACACTAAAATTATTTCAAATAGAGTCAGCAATGAGAAACCTTTTTAGGACAGAAAAATAACAGTTATGAATTCTAAATTGCATAGTATATATGAATCGATTTCTCACAATCCTTTTGAATTAAACCTACAAGCAAGTATTTCCTTGAAGGGATGTAATTTATGCCAGCTTGTGACTCATTCAAAAGGTAACATTAGTAATCTTCTGAGGAAACAGGAGCTACATATGATTCAAATTTTCTCTGGTCTCTTTGTAAAACTTTTAATTTAAATGTACAGAAAATAACTTACCGTTATCTTGGCCAAGAATGAGAGTATAAATGCTTCTAAGTCCAAAGACATTTAGAAAATACCAAGAAGCTGAGCTTACCCTAATAAATCAAAGAAATTAAGTGTTATTTAAATAATAAGGGCCCCATGTATAAGATCCAAGAACCGCTTCAAATAAGGTCAAACAATGAAAAACTCTTACCAAGATGCATCCAAAGTAAGCAATTCAATACCCTGTTGTAGCATTGGTTTAAAACGCAACGTCAGAGGAAAGGGGACTTTTGCTGCAAAAAGTTTAAAAATAAGTGTTAAAAAGAGAACTATTCTGTAGGGCACCTTGCCTTATAAAAGGAGACATATTATGAGAAGGTGCTTAAAATACAACTTTCAATAACTGAAAAACAAAAATAATGGGAAATTGAAAAACAGAAAGGCAAGAAAAGATTAAAAAAAATAGAGTTGGCAGAGGAAACGCACAAAGTATAAACAACTCCAAAAACAAAGCAAATTAAACTAACAAGTACTGCACATATACTATCAGGAAAAGTGCAAATGAATACAAGAACAAAGCAGAAGCATTTTGACTAGTGTATAGTATTGGCAAATGAGCATAGCAAGATAAATTGTGTAACACCAATTCCTTCCAAAGGAAAGAACATCTTTCCTTATATTTACCATGTTCTAAGCCATAAAGCAATCTCAGTGTAAGTTACTATTTTTGTTTCAAAGCGGAAAATTAAAGCTAACAAATAATGATTTATCCAAGGCTCCCATAGCCCAAAAAACAACAACAAATGTATCATCCAATAAATCAAACCAACATTTTCACTCAAGCACAAATGCTCCAATTAGCATGCTTTGGATTAACTATGTCAGTGGTTCTCAACCTTTTTAATGCCGCGACCCCCAACCGGTCGTAAGTCGAGGACTAAACCGGCCGTAAGTCGAGGACTAAACCGGCCGTAAGTCGAGGACTACCCAACTGGTCGTAAGTCGAGGACTTTCCCTGCCCGGGAGTGCTGCGCATGCGTGGTTCCGCCCCCTGCGCCGGCCGAGGCGTAGCTGGCAAGCGGCAGAGACGGAGCAGGCCGACCACCAGCTGGCCCAACCCAAGGGAGGTAAGGCACCCGCCGGAAAAGGGGGAAAAAAATGGACAAAAAAAATGGCGGACAGCCTTGCTTGGCGACCCCCGTGAAATGGTCGATCGACCCCAAATGGGGTCGCGACCCATAGGTTGAGAACCGCTGAACTATGTGAAGACTCTAACGTTAGGAAGGGTGGAAAGAAAAAGGAAGACCATCAGCAAGGTGGATGGATTCAGTTACAGGGGTAGTGAGTGCAGAGTTGGGACCAGGCTAGAGACTGAAAAAATCTATGTAGTCCCTAAGAGTTGATACTGACACGATGGTACTTAATTAATAAAAAAATTGAACTCCCCCATCCCTCACATTGCAGAGGATCTCTAGAATGCCACATCTGCATGCAAAGTATTTCAAGGGTTTCTGACTGTGTAGGTTTGGAACCCTAGACTGACACTCACTTGTGACAAAGCCTGAGAAGGTCATGTTGATCCAACCACCAATTAAAATCATAGGTAATACATTTGTTACATTCCCCTTCATCATATCTGTCAGCATGGTAGGATCTGCAAGGCAAATGAAAGTTCAGGTGAATATATAACAGTTTGCCTTCACTGCTGGATTTCTGAAAAGCTCTGAATATAAAAACAGAAGGAAACAAAAGATCACCCTGACTTAATCTTCATTTTAATATTTAGCAAGCCAGTGTGGTACAATGATTAAAGTGTTAAGAGTAGTTCACCCTCAACTCATAGAAGGTCACCGGTTGATTTGGGATCAGTCACTCTCAGGACAATCTAACCCACAGATTAAAATTCTTATGTGGGAAAAAGTTAATTGAGGGAGTGCTTAGGTACTCTGTCTTGAGGTCTTGAATGAAAACTAGGATAAAAATCAAATAATTAAATAGTATTTAAATTTGCTTTTTGAGAATGACTGGCCTGTAGGCCTATCTATAGTCTACTCTTCTTGTAAATATTGTCAATATCTCTTAAAATTTCTCCGGGTACACCAGGCCCAACACTGAAAAGCTTTAGCATCTTTTATAAACAGCCTGTGAATTTATTTCACTAAAATTAATAAGTGGTTTTTCTTTTTTACTTATTTTGATTTTAGCCTAAATTCATTTGGAATTGTTTTAAAATTAATTTGTTTAAAAATAAAGAGTAATGTATGAATAATCTTAAGATGTACATACAAAAATTAATAGATCTCAGTTGTTCTTTTTAATTGTCTTTCATCCTAAGGACATGAATGGGGCAGAGTAGCTTTCAAAACAGTAAACGGTAGCAAAGTCTTAATTGTTAGGATCAGAATCTGAAATTGTACAAACTGCTCCAAATTTATCCCATTCAAGAACCTGGAATATGTTATTCTTTCAAAACAATTACACAGAAGTTCAAACAAAAGATAGCTAACTACATTTGTTTGAAAGAATGAGCTTAACTTAGCTTTAGTCACAATGACTACACGGCCAATCCTACAGACTACTTCACTACTCTAAAGAAGAGGCCCCAGCGATTCTCTTCTGGAGGTTAGATATCCCTGATATTTACTGTTTAATTCATTTAAATTTTAAATTGATAGGAAAAAATATGGACACTGAGATCAGAGCCTCATACCTAAAAGATTGTTCAATTAATCAGGACTCAAGTTAATTTCCTGTATGTGTGGAATTACAGAATGGCAGAAATGATGTTGATGGAATGGTTCGATTTTGCATCTCCTCCAGAGCAGGGCTTTTCAACCAGTGGTACGGGTACCACCTGTGGTACATTGGCACCTGGAAGGTGGTACACGACCATCTTAGAAAAGTGGTAGCAGGGGAGGGGAATGAGCAGCACCGCACAAGCCTGAGCGAGAGATGGCTGGAGCTGCAGGGCTGTCAGGGCTCAGCGGAAGCGCCAGGATCAGTGCCGCTTTCCAGCTGATTGGCGCTTCTTTGGGGCTGTCAGGGCTCAGTGGAAGCGCCAGGATCAGCACCAGACTTCAGCTGGAGCTCGGTGCTGATCCTGGTGCTTCTGCTGAGCCCTGAAGAAGCACCAATCAGCTGGAATGTTGCAGCATCTCCAGGGTCTTGTGATTTACATTCAGATGCTTGGCAACTGATTCATATTTATGACGGTCACAGTGTCCCAGGGTCATGTGAAGTGACCAAAAACTGCTGCAACCACCCAGCAGACGGGGGGAATAAAAACCAAACACCCCCCCACCCCACTTCCACTGCCAATCCTCAACAGAAATGCTCACAACAATGAAAACCTCGGACACGAGGAAGAGCGCCGCTGGGTGGGCAGGCAGGCGTCTTGTTCGGCTGTGGCTTGGGACGCACATTTTTCAGTGCATTGTAACTTCAAACAGTCACTAAGCGAAATGTTGTAAGTCGAGGACTACCTGTACTTTATCACTTTTTTCCTTTTTTTTTGGTCATCAAGTTTTTGACACCTTGCTAGGCGACTGGTGGTACTCGGATATTGCCCTATCCTAAAAGTGGTACAGTGGGTGAAAAGGTTGAAAAGCCCTGCTCCAGAGAGCAGTCTCTGTTTGGTATTGCCGGAGCTGGGGTGGGCGCAGCCTCTGTATGATGCAACTGGCCGGTGGGCCGGCAGTTTGACACCCCTGATCTAAACCATAGTCTGCGTTTGGCTGATATACAGTAGAAAGCAATCACAATGTAAGTTCCTGAATCATTCAACCATATTTGTTACTTTAAAGTGTTCTGAGCTCTAGTATTATGTGTTGTTTGAAGAGAGATATATTATGAGTAAAGGGAAACCACTCTTCTTCAGATGATCTTGCAGGATTTTCAAGAACTAAAGCAGAAAGAAAGACTTATTGTGCAAGATATCTAGCTTGTTTTATTTTTTGAAATAAATCAGCCATCAAATTAATAGCTATTTCTAAGACTGAAACAAAACTAAATGTTCCTAATATCATTGATAAAACTATTTCAGGAAGGCTTCTTACATACCTGTCATTGGGGAAGGAGGCACTACCTTTCTTTTAGTTTTCTTAAAGAACCCATCATCAGGATTATTGAAATAATACTTCCGTGTCAGAAATGACTGTAGGAAAAAAAGACTGGGTTTAATCTCACAACAGGATGACTAGAATGTGGATGTTAGGGGAAGGTGGTAAAACTATGTTCCAGCATGACAGGAAGAGTGTGTAGATATGCTAACAGAAAATATAAGACCTTGCTAGAATCAAGAAGTGAAAGACCTGTGAATAAGGAAAACTGGATAAAAAAATGATAGCTGCAAACATGACAAGGAGAGAAAATGTTATATAATGTGTATATAGAAAAAAGCTACAAAAATTAAGGAATGGTTAATATTAAATGCTGAGATAATACACAGTAATAAAAATTAAAAAATGGAAGTGGGTGAAAAGGGCAATCAAGGATCTTCCAGGAAAATAAAATAGTAGAAGTGAAAGAAATGCATAAAATAATTGCAAAAAGTCATAGTAAAGCCATAGGTATAGATGGTACAACAGGCAAAATGTTAAAAGAGTGCTTCAAGAGTGGTTGTGTACCGTGCATAACATGGGTATATTACTAGAACCTACATAAAGAAAGTATACCTCCAGATGGAAGTCTCTTTCTTGATCTGGCCTATCTCACAGGCTGTTTCCTGGACTTAAAGGTCATCTCCATAGTTTTCAACATAACCTTATTGCATTCGTTCACATTTTTTTCCCTCTTTCTTGATACTGATGATGTTATTTGACACTCAGTATATACGCAGCATAAACGAAAAAGCAGCTGATTACATCTTTCAAAATGTATGGTGTTCCTAGTTCTACAGTTAGTAATATATAATTTCCTTCTAAACAACTGAAGTACAAAAGGCTGCAGAATCATCCCCTACTTTTGATAGTTCAGCATTTTAAATAAGCAGATGTCAGATGTGATTGCCCTATGGGCCTGGATGGTGCATATTAATAATAGAAACACATTACCTTTTAAAGATATTGAAGTATATTTAATCTTCCTGAGAACTGATGTTCTAAGAATAATCTCAAAGCAATCAATATCTTTTTTCTTTAATTACTCAGAATAGAATCATCCAATTCATTTTATTGAGGTTCACAAATAAGTCCAAATGGAAAGAGGTCACCCTCATTTTCCTTAACGGCCTCTGTGAATCTAAGTCTGGTGTTGATTTTTGACCCTAACCTCAAAAAAGCGTAACCCAAAGCTTATCTCTATCCCTAGTTTAATTGCCACTAGGAATGGGACTTTCCCATGCATTTTAGTGAGGTCCCCAAATAAATCCAAATGAAAAGCTATCACCCTCACTTTCCATAGAGAACCTCTATGAATGTCAGTTTTCTGATCTGACTCCAAGGAAGCCTAACCCAAACTCCAACCCTAATCCTAGCGCTAGTTTAATTTCCATTGGGGATATAATTTTCCCATGCATTTCACTGAGGTTCAAAATAAGTTTGAATGTAAAACTGTCACTCTCCCTTTCCTAACTCTGATAGCAATAGCATTTAGGCTTATATGCCACCCCACAGCACTTTACAGCACTCTCTGGGTGGTTTACAATGTAGAAGCATTATTTGCATATTGCCCCCAACAATCTGGGTCATTTCACAGAGCTCAGGAGGATGAAAGGCTCTATCAACCCTGAGCCCTGTCAGGATTGAACTACAGGCTGTGGGCAGAGTTTGCCTGTAATACTGCGTTTTAACCACTGCGCCACCAGTCCAGTTGGTGCAGATGTTGGTATTGGCTCTGATTTCATGGAAACCTAATCCTAATCATAAACTGAATCATAATCACTGGAAATGGGGTTTTCTATGTATTTTCTCAAGGTCCACAAAAGTTCCCAATGAAAAACTGTCATCCTTACTTTCCTTAGAGAACCTCTACGAATCTAACCCTGATGCCAGTTGTCAGACCTGACTAGGAAGCCTAACCCTAACACTGATCCTAATTTTTAGTTTAAGTGGGAATGAAAAGCTTTAATTTTAAGTCCAAACGAAAAGCTGTCACCCTCACTTTTCTTAGATACGCTCTGTACATCTAATGCTGATGTCCCTATTGGCTCTAATTTTAAGGAAACCTAACCCTAATTCTATTTTAATTTTCACTGGGAGTGCTTTTTCCCATGCATTTTACTGTGCTCACAAATAAGTCCCAATGTGACCCTCACTTTCCTTAGAGACCCTCTGTGAATAATAATCCTGACGTCAGTTTTTAGCCCTGATTTCAGAAGCCTAATCCCGAACCTAATCCCAGTTTAATTAATGGGATTTTCCCAAGCATTTTACTGTAGTCCACAAATAAATCCAAACATAAAAGAGCCACCCACACATACTTGCCAAAGCCTTTGCGAATTTAAGCCTGATGTCAGTTTTTGGCCCTGACTTCAAGGAAGTTTAACTCTAACCCTAATTTAACTTTCATTGGGAATAGAATTTTTCTATGTGCTTTACTGTGCTCCAAAAATAAATTCAAGGGTGAAGGATGTGAATCAATTGTTATCTTCTCTCATCTGGTTTCTAAATATAAATCCAGGAGGCAGAACTATCCACATAATGTGGTTATTTTTTGATACAAGATTTCTGATGATCCAGATTTAGTTTTCACTCCCTGCTGGTTGTTAAATATGAAAGGATATGAAAAGCTGGGAGTAAGTATCCCAGGGAAGTTCTGACTTTCACTGGACTACTAAGCAGTATTTTTAACTAACAAGTCTAAAAAAAAATAAAACAGTAATAATTCTGGTAATGATATCCAGCTAATTACAATGATGGCTGGAACATTGGCTAATTGAACAGGAACTGGTCGGCTGGAGTTGGATGGATTTCTTATATGATTTGCCACAGGAACCACAGTTAGTGCCACAACTATGGTTAGTGGCAGATCTGGTTTAGTCAGTCAGGCAAACATACATAATAGCCTTTAATTTCAACACACAGTAATAACAATTTCACAAATAGGAATCTCTTACATACCTGCTTTGGAATGTATTTTCCATTTTCTCTGAGGACTCTACTTCGAATGAGAACTTGGCTGAAATAAAACAAGGCCATTACGTAAAATAAGAAAACAAGAAATCAGTAAAAAGATACACTTGTATGTGTTACATGTGGGCAAACTGTGGGAAAATATCTTAATAACATTAACAAGACTGTTTTTCATTTACAAAGTAACATCATCTTGAAAATATTAAGGAAATGCATTGAGCAATATTTCACTATCAGTGTGTTAGCTGAGAACTATTTAATTCTTTCAGCTGACACCATTATGTCAAACAATGTTTTATATTTACCTTTAATAATGCCTTCATGAATTGCATCCTCCATACACAGTAATGTTTTATGTTTAAGATAACACAAGCCTTAAACATCCAAAGGTAGAGATTCACAGTTATGAAACAATCTGCTATTTTATGGAAATCAAATCATATCTAGATCCTTACTAACATATAAACAGCAATGAAGTTTGGTGCCTGTTTCATTTATTTCATGAATAGCAGTTCAGCTTGCAATAAGCCATTAGGAAATAGGAATTGTTTGCACTTCCTTTAGGTGCAATAACACCTGAGTGCTTCTTATAATTGGTGATTTCTCTCACATACATCACACCATTAGCCAATGGCAACTACTCAGTAATATTTAAGGATTTCCAACATTATCATTTTTAGTTCTGCCACAATTTACACCTAGAACTTGACCTGACCATTTTTTTTCTTTCATTGCATTGAACACTTGGTTATATGTTTTGAATCACTGTCTTACTGCATGACCTGCTCATGTTTCAGCTTTAGCTGATAAGTAGATGACTTGATAGTCTGGAGAATTCAAAGTTATGAAACAAAACTCATATTTCTTTCAAGGATAACAAATCATCCAAATCCCGAGGTAGCAATATGTCTCCAGTATTACTTCCATACTTGAAAACTGATATAATGTTCCTATTGTGGAATGTAGAGTTTGTTTTGCACCAGATATAACAAATCCATGTAACAAAATTCAATTTTTCCTTCCAGAAATCTGGAGGTTCAATAATTTTACATTAACACCCTTCACTATATCTCTTCCATCCATACTTTTCTACATTGGCAGACTGTACCTGCTTTTATTGTGTCCATACTTTGATTTGTATACAGTCAATCCTCAATTTACAACCATTTGTTTTAATCATGATTCCAAATTATGACAGCTTGGAAAAAGTGACTTACAATCTATATTTGCATTTACCATTGTTGCATCAACCCCACGGTCATGTGACTGCAATTTGAGTGCTTGGCAACTGGCTTACATTATGAATAGTTGGGAGTATCCTATGGTCACCTGATCATTGCAATCTTTTCTGCTGATTTCCAGCAAAATATGCCCACTGGGGAATTTGCAGGATTTGCTTATGGTGTCTGGTGATTTGCTTAACATCCACTGCAAAAATTGTTCCAAAATGAGTCCAACTCATGGACTACATGCACTGTATTTTGTTCCTTAAATTTTCATTTTTCTCTTTTTGTTCAGTCTGCATTAACTCCATCCAAACAGAACGTTATCACTCTTCTTTCTATCTCAACTTCATCTTCCTTCAATTATCTGTTTTGCTATTTATCTTCAACCATTCTGTTTATGTGACTAAATCACCTCAACCGTGCTTCTTTTGTACTGTCACTCACTTTATACTGAGTCTATATTTATTCAATACCAATACAATCTTGATCTCATCATTTATCTTACTACATACACATCTTAAAGTCTCCATTTCCGTTACATTCAATCTATTTGCATATTTCTCCTGACATGCCAATTACTTTGGCTTTCAATATATTGATTTTCACTGTATTTATCACACCTGTGATAAATTATTTATGTTCTCAGCCAACAACAGAGTTGTGATGTTGCACTCAAAACTACATGCACGTTCACATCTCTACGCAATACCTCTCCTAATGGCACCACAATCATCCTTTGCACATTTATCAATGTATAAACAAACAATAAAGAGGCTATCATACATCTTTATCTTTCACTGTGATCAGTGTTGAACTCTTCACTAACATGGCATGGCATGGGTTGGCCTCAGTGCTTCACAAAATAGCCAGTAGCCGGTACGCTAGACGAATAGCAGTTTAATTCACTCTATTCAAAACAAAGTCAGCACTGGGAGACGCTGGCTCCCAGTGCCTTACATAGGCTCCACAACAGCCGGCTGCTCCCCCAGCTTGTTCTCTTGCTGGGCCTGCCTCTCACAGCCGCCCGCCACCCTCCCTGTCCTCCTCGCATGTCGGCCCTGCGAGGTGCCTGTAGATGACGTCAGCGGGAGGCGCAGGCAGTGGAGGCAACGGCGGCGACGGCGGCAGCTCCCCTAGGGGCCGACGATGCTGCGGCTTGCTTTCGAGCGCCAGCCTGGAAGCCTGCAGGCTGGGTCGCTTCCCTGCGTCGTTCTGGAAGCCTGGAGGCCAGGGTAAGGTGGATGGGGTGAACGGCGGTCTGTCCGCCCGTCCGGACAGCCGCGCAGGGCTCGACACATTCTTTTTATTCTCATGCAACATGTACTATAATCAATCTACATAGTACATTATTATAATTATTTAAAGAGACACTCGTCAACTATTTACCTGTCAGACACTTGTTCCTGAGTAAGCTTTTTATCACTCTGGAGAAGGATGGATACATAGTGACGAATCATCCCCACAAAGAAGGTGATGAAGACTATGGGAAGCACCACCCATAATCGAATATTGGAATCCAACAACAGTTCTGGCTCACTCATTTTTAAGAAGAGTTCTGGTCATGCACACCAGCTTCAATCTTTAATCTCTAAAAGATCACAAATAATGATATAATAACTGATGAGTCCAAAAGGAGCCAAAAACGAAATTATCACTGCTAACTTTTCCAGAAACAAGTACAAAATTTACATTTAAACAAAAATCTAGAAGAAAAATAAGATTCGGGGGATGCCATGAAAGCTTTGATTATTATTTTTTCATTTGCCTTATGGGAAAACCTCACGCTGGAGATGTTAGTCTGACAGCATGGCTTAGATTTGCACAAGCGAGGAGGACGTGAAGAATAAAGTTAAAAGGATGAGCAGTTAAAAGAAACGGGTTGATTTAAAAAAAGATATTAGTCTCAAGTCCTAGTTTTAACATAAAGAACTCAGTTCTAAAGCAGAGGAAATAAGATAAGTCAAAGAAGTCTTTAAACTTGCATTACTGTATGTGTCTTTCCCTTTCCTCAAAGTAATCATAATCCGCTTTCATACACCTAGAACAGGGGTAGGCAACCTCGGCTCTTTTATGACTCATGGACTTCAATTCCCAGAATTCCTGAGCCAGCTATGCTGGCTCAGGAATTCTGGGAGTTGAAGTCCATGAGTCATAAAAGAGCCGAGGTTGCCTACCCCTGACCTAGAACAAAGTACCTGATCGATCCTCGGTATTTAAAAAAAACAAACCATAAGACATACGGAAATGATTTTATCCCCATTTCTTAAATCAGAACCATCCCACTCTTTGGAGGCCCCCGTCTTTCCAAATACGGAAAATGGGGAGGCTGAAGCTCCAAACTGTCTAATCACGCTAACGAAGGACCTTCGGAGACCCGCTTTTCAACACCAACCTGGTCCCCGTTCAGCCTTCCGGGATCAACGACTGACGTCCTCTTAAAGGGCCCGACAAAATGGCTGCTTCCTAACTGGGTGAGATCATCACAAAGCGCTCCCGGTAGGCGGTTTGGCGGGAGATTTGCAAAACTGGAAGGGGATCGCGCGCCGAAGTGGTGCAGCGACTGTGTTGTACAGTAGTTGCTCCTCGTTGGTAAGCAATAAGCAGCCCGCGCGGAAACTGCGATTGTTTGGCTTAGGCATGGCGGAATGCTTGCTTTAGGAGCCTCGCTTCTGCTGGCAGTATCGCAATCATTCGGGGAAGGGAGATGACAGAATGGAGTGACTTGAAAAGGAAAAGCTTCATTCCAGCGGAATTGTCCCCCCCCCTCTCCCCGGGATCGAAAGGAAAGAATCTAAGATTTCAGTGTGGTTGAAATTAGGCATAAAAGTACCCCCCAACTCCTACTCCTACCCAACAAAAACCCAAAATGTAGGCTCATCATCTTCCAAACAGCCTCCTGGGTGAGAGGGAAACAGTGGAATGGCTGAAAACTTCAACAAGCATTCTGACAGCAACAATTTGTTGTATGGGTACCTGTATTCAATTGTGTTCATGAAAATGCATTTAGGTTATCCTAATCATACATGCCTGCTATGATATACACACTCTGCAGATGATTACAATAGCTCCTTTTGACACTTTTATAATATAATATATAAAAATATATACTAATACAACTTTCAAATGAATTCATTATACTGCAATGCAATTTTATGTCTATAATTTATTTGTTGCACAATTATTTGCAAGATCTTAATATAAAAGCATGTATTATTTTTCAGCCAGTCTCTAATTTTCACCTAATCTTGATTTAGGATACATCAGTACCTGTCATGGCTTCAAAACGGAAATTGTTCAAACCCCGGGCCTACAGTGAAAATCTGATAGAAGAATTACCAAGTATGTAAAGATGGAACCATTCTTATATGAAATCCCTTTGCCAAGAACATTAAGTAAAGGAATGCTATTGCTTTTAGAACTGTGAAGAACAGCAACAAGATCAAGCTTTTTCTTCCCACTTGAAATATCTTTTCCTCCACATCATAAGCAATGAATATGAAAAGTTAATTGTAGGCTGTCAGGAAATTTCCAAAACAGTAATATCAAAAATAAATTTTCAAATATCTATTTTATTTATTTACTATAGAATTTTATACTGCTCAGTTACAAACATAGATCCTCAAACATTGTTGTTGCAGTTGCAGTGTTTGAGGACATCCATGCTCCATATAGTTTACATCTATATAGCAATAGCACTTAGACATATATACTGCTTCATAGTGCTTTACAGCCCTCTCTAAGCAGTTTACAAAGTCAGCATATTGCCCCCAACAATCTTGATCCTCATTTTTCTGATCTCAGAAGGGTGGCAATCTAAGTCAACTCATCCTTCAGCCAGTCAGAATCGAACTCCTGGCAGTGAGCAGTGAGTTAGCCTGCAGTACTGCATTCTAACCACTGCACCACCACAGCTCCTATATGCCTGTTGATGGCTGACTTGTCTAAGTGCCAGGTTTCCAGAAATTCTCTGGTGTTTTTGGACTTGGCTTGGTGTAGGATACTCAAAGTTTCCCAGTTGAAATTATGATTAGGTTTGTCCATGTGTTGTGAAATTAAGGAGTTTTCATCATGTCTTCTGATTGCTAATTGTTCATGGATACGATCTGCTAGTCTTCTGCCTGTTTGTCCTACATGGTGGCTTTTGAAGTCCTTACTCTTTATGCTGTACATGACTCCTGGTTTTTTTTTCTGGGCTGTTGAGTCTTTTAGTTTACTTAGGATGTTTCATAGGGCTTTAGTTGGTTTGTGTGCTCTGGTGATGCCATGCTATGGTAATAGTCTGTTAGTGGTTTCTGAGATGTTTTGATGTATGGCAGTATTATCTTTTTCACAGCTTGTGTTACTTCTGCTGTATTGGGTTAAGTGGTCAGGGACAATGAAGTTGTATGCATATCCATTTTGTTGGAAAATATTGTATAGATGATCTGTTTCCTTTTTCTGATGTTCAGGTTGCTGCAATGTATTTGTGCTTATTCTTACAGTTTCTCTTATGGGAGGTTGGGTTATTATTTTCATAGTGGAGCACTTGGTTGCTGTGAGTGATTTTATGACAGACTTGTGTTTCTAATTTGTCATCACTGTCTCTGCTTATGAAGATATCCAGGAAGGGTAATGTGTTGTTTTCTTCTTTCCCTAGTGAATTTTATTCTTTTGAAGATGTTGCTGATGGCTTTGCGTGTGTTCTGTAATTGGCCCTTTTTAATTATGCCAAAAGTGTCATCTGTGTACCAGATCCATACTTTGGGTTCTAACATTTGTTAATCAAAAAATATACTACCAGATTCCTGATATTTTGGCACCATAGACTAGCACATCTATCGTTCTATAATGTCCACAATGTGGACTTCATTTGAAAGTATAAACTTCTTGATAAAGTCATGTTTGAGAGTTCTGACAAAAGCAGACCTAGGGTAATAGAGGATGCAATTCAGGGAAAAAAGTTTAAGTCCCATTGAGTTTGTTTTAATTTGTTATGCGCATCATGTCCAGCAGTTATGATCACATTATACAGACCTATTCTTAGATGCTTATAAAGCAGAACCATTTTCTTTTCCCTCTTTAGTATCTACAACTGGCCTGTCAGAAAGTGTTTTACTGTACAACCCCTTGCTTTGCTTTTTCAAGGCAGAGATAACAAAAAATGGGCTAACTTTTTTACTTGAATGTTAATTTTTGCATTTAGCTGTTGTGATTCCACATTAATCCCAACGTTCATTTTGCTTATGTTTCCCTATTAGAAACAAAAAGGCCTCGAACCTCTGGAAAGAAAAAGTCTGTTCCGCAAGATGATGGTGATATAGAAAGCAATAATGTTTTTGGGCATCTCCTTAAGACTGCAGGGATTACACTGAAATCAGGAGAAAAACAGAATGAAATAGGTATTGTTTGTTATACTGTGCTTCTTTGGTAAATGGAGTACTTGTTAGATATGAAAATCTGGGGAAGAGAGGAAAATCCTTTTTCTTTTCTTTTTTTCTTTTTTCTTTTCTTGAACACTTTTGAGTCATGAGCAGGAAGGATTTCAATTGTATCTGAAATAAATATCCATCACCAAAATTGATGATAATGATGATGATTAATTTATTTTGTGTTTTTATGTCTTGGACATACATTATATTAAATTTAAATATATTATTTCTTTCCTGATTTATGGGCAGATTTTGACTGCCCTATTACTTTTGGGAAACCCAGTTTATTGGTTCTTCCGAGCATTTCAATTCCCCCCCCCCATTGATCAATATTTCTAAAAATCTTGCAGTTCTTCCTATGTTTAGACATATTTACTGAGAATATTTTTGCAAAGAGAAAAAACATGCTGTACAGTTGTCTTTAATCTGTCACTGTCAATGTCAAAACCTATCCTTCGTTAAAGAAGATGACACTGTCATCTACAGTATTTTAATACGATTTTCTGTCCATTGGATTTATTGTATACTATATAAGAATTTATAAAACACATTTTGGAGACTGCATGGAAGAAACATTAGAAGGGAAAAATTGTTTATGGAGAATCCAGCTTGGATACTTTATATATTTTGCGTTCTTGGCAACTATTAATGAAGCAGAAAGGTTGCAGACATGTAGCAGTTTACTGACAGAGGTTTTATGCCTTCGCAACAGTTTTAGCAAAGATAGAAATTCAATAGATGCATTTCTCTTTTAGTTAGGATTGTCATTATTATCTTAGTATGATCTTGTTTATCACCTGCATGACAACCAAATTCAGTGAATCAGAAGAAGAAAAGCAAAAGCTTCTTTTCTTGATTGGATGCAAGTTGACACAAGACAGGTCTCATTGAAAAGTATATAGTTAACGTATTTTCTTATATTTCCAGTTTAGGAAATTAAAAAAAAACATGTTGAATTTCTGCCAGCTATTATGGAGCTGTTTAAAGACAAGGGAAGGTGGCATTTTGGAATAATGTGATATGGATACATATTTTTATATATGATTCTCTTGATACTTTTTTTGTAGCTGTAGATGGAGCAATTTTACAGAAAAAGTTGAACCAAGCCTTAAGAAAACACCCTTCTCATCCACAGGTATGAAACTGATCATACGATATATATTTATTACAGCCCACATAACAAAGAGCTGAAAAGCAATGATGACTTTTATGATTTCTCAGTCTTCCTTTTTTGTGCCCTTTTTTAAAATTAGATTGTTGCAGAGTTCATCAGTGGTTTGGAATCCCACATTGAAAACAGAGATCAGTTTAGGAATTGTCTTCTACCATGCATACCTGCACAAAATCAAGAAACAAAGTAAGTGAAAAAAGTTATTTGATGCTTGAAAACTATCACCTAAATGTTTCATAATTATAGTTAGCTACCGTGGCAATGAAAAATCCCTGGTGATGTACATGAACTTGCTTGGATAGGGACAGGGCTAAAAGTACTAATGAAAACTGATGCACCTTTTAGAGGGCAGACCAAAAGCATATAAGTAAATGCTATAGTACATTGATTGAAAGTGATAAATCTCTTCAAAATTTTTTGTTTAATGAATCCAAAAATTATTCCACTGCAAATACATAGTTTTAAATTCACGTTTCCAGTTGGCAGTTAGGTTATGCAACCACACAGCAAAGTTTCTAGAATGAATTTGTAACAAGAGTAACAGGAAACTGTCTTTCTCCTCCTTAGTAATGCAGTACATTCATACTGCGAAAGTGTCATTAAATTGCTTCTTGGTATTGAGATGTTGCAGGTATGTTTATCATTTGATTTTCTCATTTTCTCCTGACAATCAAAAGTAGACATCTTAAGTGCCACTAGAGTATTAGACTGAACTTGTGGGAAAGATAAAAGTGGGGAAAATGGAGCTCATATGCAGTCTATTCCCACCTTTCTCCAATCATCTGTAATTATTCTGCTCTATTTGGGTTATGAGAACTGTACTCTCATTCAGTCCAATTCAGTATAACTCAGACCCCTGCCTGAAT